ACGTGGTGTGGAGGAAATGCTACCACGACGAGTTTTTTTGCGTGCAGCGGTCAACGCAATTTTTATTAATATTGTAATATCTTTGCCGGCTGTCTTTTTATGGTTCTTAATAGCCTTTTTCGCTTCAGAAACTATAGTTTTAAAACCACATCCCATTCCGATTTTACGTTTTGCTTTCATGGCGTTGGTAACTAGGTATGCTGCTGCCCGTTCTTTAAATCCAGAGTCCTTTGATTTAACAATGTCCCAAGCCCCGTGTTCTAATACTTCATCTGCTTTATGTCTTTCTGCAGTCGAATGATGTTTATCGTAAAAAATGTCGTGAGATTTGCAGAGTTCGTCGAGTTTGTTTACCCCCACGTCGCCCCTTGCTAAACGTTCTTTTAACCGGGTGCCGGACCACAGTAATGATAACCTTTGAGGTGTAATTCTATAGGTAATTTATTTAAGAGCGTATTGAATAGACCGACACCACTTTTAGACTTGTTGCGACCGTGACGTGACATCATTTGATCAGTTTACTGTCCTGATAAACTATTTATAGTGGAAAACATGAAGTTTATACAGCAAAGTGTTAAACTCCCCGTGATAAACGCAGATACTGAAAATAATGACAATAAACCTCCCCGACACGGCACTTTATTTCCAAACTCTATTAGAGCGATTATTGCGGGGCCGTCGGGCTGTGGTAAAACTAATGTTTTATTTTCTTTACTGGTCGCTGAAAACGGTGTAAAATTCAAAAATATTTACATATATTCAAAAACTCTAGACCAGCCAAAATATCAAATGCTTAAGAATATTATAGAAAGTATACCAGGAATGAAAATATTCATGTTTCATGAAAACGACACTGTAATTAGCCCTGAGGACGCATTGCCAAATTCAGTTTTTATATTCGACGACGTAATAACCGAATCTCAAGAAATTATAAGAACCTATTTTACTCGAGGCAGACATAATAACATTGACATATTTTATTTAACACAATCGTTTAGCTATGTAGGTAAACAATTGATACGGGATAACGCTAATATGCTTATTCTATTCAAACAAGACAAAATCAATATACGGCATATATATTTTAATAATTGTTCAGGGGACATGACACTTAACCAGTTTCGTGAACTTTGTCATTCATGTTGGAACGATAGTAAATTTAGTTTTGTAGTAATTAGTAAAGATCATCCGCGGAATGAAGGCAGGTATCGTAAATGTTTCGTAAATAATATAATGTCGTGTAATAACGGTATTTTGTCAGTAACCGATTAACAATGGCCGGAGAATCTAATAACGCAATATTGAGACAATTAGCCGAGGCCAAGCAAAATATTAAACGAAAATTCTAATCATTGCAAAATGATGATGTTACTAATGAAGTTTACATGAAACGTACATTAAAACCCATTATTGAACCTTTAAACGAGTTAACAACACTTCAAAAAGAGAAAACATCGCATATTTCAAATTTTACTAATAAATTTGATAATAATAACGAGTATTTAAAATATGAACAAAACCATGATGGTAACAATTATAAAAACGATGAAAATAATTCTATAGTAACTGAGCTGCATAATCAAAGCTATAATGTTGAAGACACTAATTCTAGTGGATATTCTGAAAACCAAATATTTTCTATGATGGACTCGGTTGAGGCATGGCTAGTTTATCATGACGGGGACAAAGCGTATGCACCGAAAAAACACGGGGATATAATGAAATTTGGTGATAAAATTGTTCAGTTTAATTATAAAACAGCTCAGCTGATCATAGAAAATAATAAATATCAATTAACCCCCGGTGTAATACAGTTAATATTTTCAAAACGGCCTAACGCATACGGTAAAAATGACTTGGATGTCTATAGAGACATTCTAGTTCATACTTCTGCGCACTTAACAACGAATAAATTAAAAATTAAGAAAACAAATGGCTACAAGTATAAAGAAGTTATAAGTAAATTGTTTGTCGAGGGCAGAGGTCTTGAGTTGTCATTGAATACATCGAATAACTATAAATATTGGAATAACGCAGACGAGCTCTGCGACCGTCTTAGATTACTATTGGCTTCGCAGGCAGCAGGCAATAATGCACATGGTAATGAAATTATATCAATTTATGAAGAATTATACGAGGCGGGCATAATTAAAAAAATACCAAATGTTTAAAAGACAAATTGCGGAAGAACTACATAGGCCTAGACGAATACATTACGATAGACGTAGTGTTGTACTTAAGAGCCGTGACGATTTATTTCAGATCGATTTAGCTGAATTTATACCATGTCATAGACAGAATAAAGGCTATAAATATATTTTGTTTGTAATTGATTGTTTTACAAAATATTCATGGGCAGTACCCCTAAAATCAAAAAGAGGAGCTGATATAGTGAAAGCAATAGAACCTATACTTGCAAAACGTAATATCGTTCACGTACAGAGCGATTTGGATAAAGAATTTTATAACTCAAAATTTTCAACTCTTATGAAAAAATACAACATAAAACATTACTCAACGTATAGCACATTAAAAGCGTCAATTTGTGAACGATTAATTCGAACCATCAAGACCAAATTATATAGAGAGTTTACCGCTCAAGGATCACACAATTGGATATCTACATTAAACAAAGTTATGCACGAGTACAAAACAGCGTGCATAGAACAATAAAGATGACTCCTACGTATGCCGATAACAATCCTTCGGCAGTGGTTATACACAGTACTGTACATAAAACGAAACAAAAAATTAAATTTCGTAGAGGTGATTATGTAAGGGTTAGTTCGAACAAGGTCGTATTTGAAAAAGGCTATTTGAGTAATTGGTCTTTTGAAATATTTACTATAGCAAAGGTATGCAACACTATACCAATAACCTATCTTCTCGAAGACTTTGAAAAAAATCCAATTAGAGGGTGTTCTTATGAACAAGAATTACAAAAAACCAAGTATCCGCATAATTATCTGATTGAAAAAATTGTACGACGTAAAGGGGATAAAGTATTGGTTCGTTGGATGGGTTTTCCTTCAAAACATGATTCATGGATGAATAAAAATGAACTTGAAAAATAAATATTTTTAATATTATTGTAAGATATTAATGTAAATATGTATATTTATTTAACCTTAAGGTGACATATCCCCTCTACCTCTCTTTAATTAAACTGTGTGTTATTACTTTTTAAAATACAAAAAATCATCCAATCAGAATAAAATCTGTAAAACTAATAAAATATTTTTAGTTCACTCGTAAACGTTAACAGTAATGGATGTTTTTGGTTCATCATTAGAAAGTAAAAGAATAAAAAAAATATGCATACTAGAGTCTAAATTAGCTGAATTAGAAACAGATATTATAAAAATTACTGAAACGCTTAGTAATTATAGGAAAATAATTGAACAAATAAATGAAGAATTTAAATACTAATTTTAACGCAATAGATTCAACTTCTAAGTTACGATATAGTCAGCTAGAAGAACAGATTAATAAAATTAAAGGTTTTGTCAAATACGAAACCCATACTGACTCCAGTGTACGTTAATTCAAAAAATAAAACGCCCTAGAACAAGATTCGTATCCTCAACGTACTAGTTAACAAACTAAATAATGACTACAGCAATAGTAGATTTTGAGTGTATATTGGGATCGAATAACGAGTATCTTATAAAAGAACTATCTGTAGTGGATACTGACACTTATGCTACACAACACTGGATATTTAAACATGCAACTCCAACAGATGAAAAAAGTCGAAATGTTAACGCGTGGTTGAAAAAGCAAAATGCAACCTCAGTACGGAGACGTAGAAATTGAAGAACTACCGAGAGTTTTAAACTCGTTAAAATTTACAGACATATTTGTAAAAGGGTTACAAAAAAGAGACATTTTACAATTGTATATGCCACACGTAAATGTCATTAACATGGAAGATATTGGCTGCCCCCGTATAACACAATTGTCAACAAATACTTCTTATCCATCATGTTTATTTTATATGAATTTAAATCCAACTTATTGTAGTTTTTATAAAATGTTTATGTTAAGAAATTAGTATATTAATAATTCTTAGTACTTAAAATATTGTTATATTTCACTATAATTAAATAATGTAATTAAATTGTATAATATTTTTAAAATAAAACTTATAAGTAACAAAGTAGTTGTTTATTTAGGTAAACATAAATTATATAAAATATATATAAATTTATATATAAATAAAAACAGTATACTTTAGTGTATACTAAAATTAAATGAATTATTTTACAACAGTCAAATTTTTAAAGAACAAAATTACAAGTAATGAACAAATTATTTACACAGTGGATGGTAATATAAGTATTTTGCATAAAGTATGATTAAATATTAAAGTTGGCCAAACTACCTTGTTGTCTCAAATCCCTTAAAAAAATAAATAAACAAATTTGTAAATTAACATACATATATATATATATATATTACAATGAAATGAATAACTGTTAAACTCACTCAATTTTATAGTGTCCGTGCGCTAACGTATGAATTTCATCCTTCAAAACAACTCGTTTATCATCATATCTATTCAACGATAATTTTCTACTAGTTGTAGGGATTAACAAAGATGTTAAATAACATGTCACAATGAATGCGTTTATATATGTTTTATCTTAGATGTACTGCAGTACGATAACACTCCGTGTATTTTTTTTATTCTCGCGCTGTTGGTCAATCCAGTGACACTTTGTATTTGTACTCTTTTTTTATGTACGTATAAAATCATTTTTCATTATTAAAAAGTATTAATTATTATAAATTTTAATTGTAGTATTTTGTAATAAATATAAACACCAAAACACTACAAATTGGTGACCTCTAAAATGAACAACAAATCCGATAGTACGATAGTAACTGTGCGTGACGACGCGACCGGTAATGATGGCCGAGACCANACGATAGTAAGTGTGCGTGACGACGCGACCGGTAATGATGGCCGAGACCATATCGAATACGGCGAGCCCAATATGAATTCAACGCGAGCGTTTAAAATCCCAACTTTCTGGCGTACCAACCCAGAACTTTGGTTCAAACAAATTGAATCCGTTTTTTATACAACCAGAATTACAGCTGACGCAAGTAAATTTCATCATGTTGTTTCTTCTATGGAAAGTGAAATTCTTGCTCAAGTTAGTGACATAATACTCAATCCACCAGAAACGAAAATGTACGAAGCATTAAAAACCCGGCTCATCGAAAGATTTTCCGAATCTGAACAATGTCGGCTTAAAAAATTACTGACCGAAGTCGAACTCGGTGATCGGAAACCATCCCATTTTCTTTCAGAAATGCGTCAACTAGCTAATGGAAAAGTAACTGATTAAATACTCAAAATACTATGGATACAAAGGTTACCACATCAGGTAAAAACTATCATTTCAGCTAGCAACGACAAGTTGGATAACTTAGCTTCGATGGCAGATAAAATTATCGAAGTATCGGACAGCCGAAATGATTGTTTTTCCATTGCCAACATTAGTGACAAGGTCACAAACCGTCAGTCACATGAACAAGCTGACGATGCAACGACAATAAGAAAATTGGAACACCAGATCGCAGCACTCGCACAAGCAGTAGAGCGACTTAGCAACAGCAACTCTCGTAGCTACAATAGGCGTCACTCAAAATCACCTATGCGCCGAGACAATTCACGACCACGATATGATACATGTTATTATCATTACCGATTCAAAGATAAGGCTACTAAATGCAAACCACCGTGTAAATACCAGCACACGTCGGAAAACTATAAACGATCTACTGTCGAGACGACCGACGGTAGTGAGTTTCAATCTCGTCGTCTATTTATTGTTGATAAAATAACAAAAACTCAATACTTAATTGATACTGGTGCGGACTTTACGGTTTCGCCAGCAGATCCTAAGCAGAAACGCTATAAATTAAAAGATGGTAACCCTACTTTATTCGCAGCCAACGGGTCAATAATAAAAACATACGGTGACAAATTAATTGCTGTAAATTTAGGTTTAAGACGTGTTTTTAAATGGAAATTTATTGTCGCAGCAGTCAGTAAACCAATTATAGGTGCTGACTTTCTCCACTACTTCGGCTTATTAGTGGACTTAAGAAGTAAACGCCTAATTGATGAAAATACCAATTTAGCCACCGCCGGAAAAGTTAAAAAGACGATATCCTCGGGCATCTTCGCTTTTAAAGACGATTCAGCGTACATTAAGTTACTAAAAAAATTTCCGCAAGTATTAAGAACAAACATGATCCCAATGGATTGTAAACATAACGTTACACATCATATCATCACTAAAGGACCACCACTCTTCGCTAAACCAAGACGCCTTCCTCCGGATCGACTAGAGATCGCAAAAAAAGAATTTGCTTATTTAGTAGAACAGGGCATATGCCGACCTTCAAATAGTCCGTGGGCCAGCCCATTACAACTAGTAAAAAAGAAGAACGGTGAATGGAGACCGTGCGGCGACTACCGTAGGTTAAACGCAGTCACATTACCGGACAGATACCCCATTCCACACATTCAAGACATCACACAGCGATTGCAAAATAAAAGTATTTTTTCAAAAATCGATTTGGTTAAAGCTTTTAACCATATACCAATAGAACCGTCCGATATTCCAAAAACAGCTATTACAACACCTTTTGGGTTATTTGAGTTTGTTCGGATGGGATACGGTTTTAAAAATGCAGCTCAAACATTTCAGCGTTTCATACACGGTGTTTTAAAAGACTTAGATTTTTGTGAAGTGTATTTGGACGATATTTTAATTGCATCGTCTTCAACACAAGAGCATTTGAGTCACCTCGAACGTGTATTACAACGACTCAGTGAGTACGGCATTGTGATAAATACGAATAAATGTATATTTGGAAAAGAAGAGGTACTATTTTTAGGATACATCATATCGGGTAACGGTCTTAGACCAAATCCTGAAAAACTGGAAGCGATAGACAAATATCCACGGCCGAATAATGTACAAGAGCTTCGACGTTTTTTGGCTATGTGCAATTTTTACCGCCGTTGTATCCCAAACGCAGCAAGTACACAAGCTATTCTTCACGATTATCTTAAAAACAGCAAAAAAAACGACAAAACACCAATTGTATGGACCGATCAATCAACGGGAGCGTTCGAGAAAACTAAAGAAGACTTAAAGCGAGCCACAACATTATCGTATCTAGATCCGGCCGCGAATATTCAATTACGATGTGACGCGTCAGATATGGCGATAGGCGCAGTAATAGAACAATTTAAAAACGGCGTTTGGCAACCACTTGCTTTTTTCTCTCGCAAACTTGACCAAACACAAAAAAAATACTGTGCATACGATCGTGAACTTCTTGCGGTATATGAAGCCATTAAGCATTTTCGCTATATGCTGGAAGCCCGTGAATTTGAAATAATTACGGACCATAAGCCGTTAGTATACGCATTCACACAACACTCAGATAAATTACCACCTCGACGTGCACGACAACTTGATTTTATTAGTCAGTTTACAACATCAATACGGCACGTAACAGGTACACAGAATACAGTGGCCGATGCGTTATCGAGAATAGAAACTATAAATGCACCGCCACCGCTAGATTATGACAAGTTAGCTTACGACCAGTTAGCAGACGCAGAACTATTGTCGTTATTGTCAAAACCGGAATTATCGATAAAACTAGAGCTCGTAAATATGCCCACTACGAACACAAATATTTACTGCGACACTTCTAATGGTAGACAACGACCGTATCTTACCAAACAATTTCGCCGCAATGTGTTCAATTGTCTACATAATCTCGCTCACCCAGGTATACGGTCAACAATAAAATTAGTGAGTAGTCGTTTCGTGTGGCCGTCGATGAACAGTGATTGTGCGAAATGGACTCGTGCGTGTTTAGCGTGTCAAAAGTCAAAAATAACGCGACATGTTATAAGTCCGTGTGGTATTTTTAATGTGCCGAGTGATCGTTTTTCACATGTACACATCGATATAATCGGTCCTATGGTCATGTCACGTGGTTGTACTTACTGTTTAACCGCTATAGACAGATTTTCTAGATGGCCAGAAGTTTTTCCAATTCAGGATATTTCGGCTGAAACCATAGCTCGTACGTTATTTGAAGGCTGGATAGCTCGATATGGAGTTATGGAGAGATTGACAACAGATCAAGGACGGCAATTTGAGTCTACTCTGTTCACCGCAGTAACGCAAATTTTAGGGTTTAGAAGAATACGTACATCAGCATATCATCCACCAGCCAATGGTTTAGTCGAACGATTCCACCGATCACTTAAAACGGCAATAAAGTGTTACGAGACTGAGCACTGGACAGATGTACTCCCCTCAGTTCTTATGGGCCTTAGATCAGTGATTAAAGAAGATCTAGGTTTAACACCTGCAGAAATTGTATTTGGAAGTACGATTAGATTACCTAATGAGTTTTTTATGCAGTCATCAGTGGCGACAGACCCTTGTTCCTTTGCTGAAACACTAAAGAAAACAATGGAAACCATACGCCCAGTGTCAACTTCAAACCACGGAAGTAAAAAAGTTTTTATATTGTAACGTGACAAAAGTATCTATTTATTTTTTTTTCTATTTGTATATATATATATAGATTTGTGTTGAGCCGAATGCGGACTGCGACAACGTTTGTTGGTAAAATTATCATGATAAGGTGTTGTGATTTGTTTATGCGCGTGCGAGATAGTCAGCTGTGTACTACTTCAGACCGGTTCATGGACGGCATTTGTGTGTACATTCACCCCGCTCCTTTCCTATCTTGAACGTCATTTGCACTGCTCACCGCATACATTGTCGCCATATCATTTAAATTGTTTTTAATAATTTCTGGCACTGGGTATTTAGTTATGTTTTGACCCCTACTCTATAGGCTAGCCGTTTGGTCGCCAACGGACCGCCGGGTCAAACGTCAGACGGGTTGTCGGAAATTAGCCATCGTCGGAACTGGTACGCTAATTTTCGTCCGTAGCGATTGTGATTTTTTGTTGTGTGCGTTACAACTTTTTTTTTTTATATAGATATATTTTTTCGTGAGTGCCCGCTATTTTTTTTAGTATGTAATTTTTTTGTTTATGGCATCGGCTAAGCCTGCCTCCAGTTTCTTTATCCCTTAGGGGCTGGTAATGTATATTTTTGCTTTAATGTGTTGAGTCAGTTTTTTTTTAGTGCGCCGTGCCATAAGCACGTGTGGCGAATTTTTTTATAAGTTTTTTTTTTGTAGGTGTCCCCATATTTTTTTTATTTAGGTCCCTCAACATGGCAGCCGTGTTCCAATACCACCTGTCATGTTATATATGTTTTATTATAGGTTTTATATGGTTTTTTATTGGGTGATGAATATATTATTGGTACAATGTGGTGACGTAGTGCATTTTATTCCGGGGTGTCCCAACGTCTTGCAAGCTACGCCTAACTGCAAAAAACCAGTCGCTTACTTGGGACGTACNTAACTGCCAGAAACCAGTCGCTTACTTGGGACGTATACCCGCCGTGCTTAGCGGCAATGCTGCGATTAATAGCCGGCGGGTACCCGAAGACGTTCATCGTATTCTCTAATAATAAAAGTGTAGGTGTAACTATTTTTTTTTATTAATATCTATTTTTTTTTCTCTTTCTTTGTTCCCCTTTAATTTGTAGACGAGGTTTTTTGCCTCGTGATAACTTAATTTTTTTTGTTTTTTTTAATAAAGTCCCCTTAATTTAACTTAACCATCATCTGTTTCTTCTTTTTTGCGTGTTCCATCTTCAATGGACTCGTGTATATTTTTTTTCCTTTCAAAAATCAACTCCCCTAGTTTATAAGGTACGGGCAACGGCCTTGTATAAGGTCATCCCTGATCAATATGATTATGTGACCACTGTCACGAGGTTTTGGTATACATCTACTATCAACGACTCAACGGACATCAACTTTAATATTTATTAATTATATATTTGTTTCTAATTGTTTTAATATACAATAGTTAATTTTTTTAAAATCCTACTGTGGTCCGACAATACACTGTCTCGCCCAGTAGGTTGGCGACCCTCTTCTTATAATTTTGTAAAACGCCATGAAAGTTACAAATTTTTCGTTGCGGCCAATTAATTTGAATTTTATATATTTGTAACCTTTCANTCAAACCACGGAAGTAAAAAAGTTTTTATATATAAAGATCTAGCATCCTGTTCACACGTTTTCGTTCGGGTCGACCGGGTCAAGAAACCGCTAGAACAACCATATGAAGGGCCGTACAAAATTGTTCAACGATACGAAAAAACCTTTAAATTATTAATTAGGCAAAAATAATGTATCATATCAATAGACAGACTGAAGACATGTTTCAACGAAAATGAAGATAATAACACAAATCTATCAATAACAACGAACCAGGACAACCAGAGAAATACAACTACAAGACCAACAATAATACAAACAAAACAAACCAAGTCAGGAAGAACCATCCGCCTCCCCGTAAGGTTTTTGTAAATTGTGAATTGTATCACTTTTATATTTGTATTTGTATTTTTATATTTGATATTTGTAACTATGTATGTTTAACGTAAAATTATCGTTTTCACTGGAAAGGGGGTAATGTAGGGATTAACAAAGATGTTAAATAACATGTCACAATGAATGCGTTTATATATGTTTATATGTTTTATCTTAGATGTACTGCAGTACGATAACACTCCGTGTATTTTTTTTATTCTCGCGCTGTTCGTCAATCCAGTGACACTTTTT